ACTTTGCAAATTAGCCTCATGGCTGCAGAATAAATTAAGTCTTTTGATAAAACAGCTTTGTGGCACGACTGTGACTAAAAGTCGTTCCTCTGCATTATCTTTAATATGACCATAATTCTACTGAAGTGCTGAGAACAAGCCAAGGAAAACGGATCCACCGTGCTTAAGATGATTAAGCATCTTTTCACACAGTTAACCGCGGACAGAGTGTGCACGCACGTGTATCTTTCAAGCTCCCCATTTAAGAGCTCTGCTATAAGTATTTATGGCTGTAGAGACAATACTGGAGCTAATTTTATATGTTTCACTTCTCGCCCAGCCCCGACCACATACTGTACTTGTAATTAGGATGGACACGGTATCTGCTTCAGCTGAAGTCTTATTCATAAAGAGCCTTTGTGGTTTATTATTGCTACAAAACTGACTCATCTGCGTTTGAAGTTTTGCTCGATTTGCATCATAAATGCAACATGACTTCACTTTCCCTGAGAGGGAAGTTTCGGTTTCTGTCACACGAAGTAACAACCTGGAGATCATTTCCTGCTCCTTTCTCAAGCACACCATGCTCTCAAAACAAAAAGAATTCAGTTCAGACTCAACCATTTATTATTTTTTACAAAAAACAACAACAAAAAACATTCACATTCCTAAACTTTCATCAGTTGAGGCTCATGTATTCTCTGTCCAAAGCTAACCTCTAAGCTCTGGGCTGTTAATGTGCCTTATGTGCAGCGTTGCTGTGAGAGCATCTGCTTTTAAGAGCTGCAAAGCTCTTTACTGTGTGATCTTGGCTACACAGAGCAGATTGTAAGAGTCATAATGCCAAGGGAGATGAAATTCATTTCATTGGCAGGATTTTTATAACTGTAAGTAGCACAGTTCTTGTTTGAAATATGGCGACGGAAACCAGTGTTAATGCATAAGACACCAGGGCGCGATGGTGATTTAATAAGATTATCTCCACTGGGTGTTTAATTCATTTTTAAAGTCTTATTTAATTTATTGCACAGCACGAACACATGTTAGCACTGAAGCAGAAGTGTACAAGTAAGGGATTTTAAACCTTTCAAGTCCATTACTTGCTGAGACATGGTTACCAAAGAGGGCTAGATGAAAAAAAAAATCATGATTAAGGGCATTAAAAATATTGCCTCCACACAAGGGGTCAAATACCTTTTGTGCAATAAAAAAAATTCCGGACAAACAGGTTGAAAGAGTAGCTGCAGATGACTTATTTTGTGCAATCACTGTAACAAAGGCTCAGGCTTGATGATGTGACATAAGCTGTACGCATGATGTGAAAGCTATTGGACATATTAGATTAATAAAATATAGAGTATATGAACTGGGAATCTCATTTTCTTTCCCCTTTCCTCTCTGCAGGCCTACTCCCTGAATTCCACCACCATGCGGCCTGCCACAGCTGTCACATCCCCATTTGTAGACCTGTACAACCGCACACAGTACTGCAAGTGGCCCTGCGAGTGTCCAGAGACCCCCCCTAAGTGCCCGCCAGGTGTAAGCCTCCTCATGGATGGCTGCGACTGCTGCAAGACCTGCGCCCGGCAGGTGGGCGAGGTGTGCAACGAGGCAGACATGTGTGACTACCACAAGGGACTGTACTGCGACTACAGCTCAGACAAGCCTAGGTACGAAAAAGGAGTGTGTGCATGTAAGTGTCACTCACCAAAACAAACTACCGCTGTACACCGCATCAAAAGTTCATTTTTGTAATGTTGCAAGTCACGTTCATTGTCCAAACTGCACACAAACTGCAGCACAGCACAGACTTGAGTAGAGAATATTAGAAAAAGCTATTTTTGGTTTGGTTTCATGGCACAGGCAGCATGTGCACATTATTCAACAAAGAGCACAGAGCACACGTGGAAGAGAATTACTGACCTCAGTCTAGGGACATATCTGCAAGTTTTATATCCAAGTCTCCAACATGCAAATAACTTTTTGTGTTATTCATGTTTTCATGTTTTCATTTTATTATTTTGCCTTTGTTCTACATCCTTGCAGACTGTGCAGACTTAATCGTTGCCTGATGTCGAGATCAAATCTATCCCAGATATTGCACAGCACTAGCTTCTAATGTAATTATTGCATTACATGTTTTTTGTACTTTAATACGTCTATGTGTTGTTATTTTCATACCATTTATCATTTTAGTTTCACTCACACCATTTTTTCCCCTTTTTTAATTATTCTCTTTTGTTCATTCGCTGCTTGTTGTGCTCACTTTTAAGGACTTTATTTTTTGGAATAAGCTGTGGAGAAATGAAACACTTACCTCCCACTAAATGATGTCTGCTGCTAAAAAAAATAGTAAAAACAGACCTATGGTGTCACAGATTTTCCATCTCTAATAGAAGGTTCCTTTAAAACCTACCTACACATGACCTGATGACAGTTTGAAGATGGAATAAGAAAATAAAAAATGGAGACTAATATAACAGTTTTCAAACATTTCTGAAGTGCAAAATGTTTCATTTATCGATTGCTTTTATTTTCCAAGCTCTGCAAGACAAATGTCCTCCTAATAATGGCGGACGCAGTTCAGCAGCAACGCGCAAGTCCAAGCTTTTGTGTGTTTTCCCTGCTTTTATAATATATTCCTGCTTGTCATCCCTCTCTGCCAGACATGGTGGGAATCGGCTGCGAGCACAATGGCGTGATCTACCGTAACGGGGAGAGTTTCCAGCCCAACTGTAAATACCAGTGCGTGTGTGTTAACGGGGCTATTGGCTGTGTGGGGCTGTGCACAGAGTCTCAGCCTCCCCGTGTTTGGTGCCAGACCCCACGACGAATCAAAGTCCGGGGACAGTGCTGCGAGCAGTGGATCTGTGACGAGCCCAGGAGAGGGCGCAAGACAGCGCTGCGACATGCAGTCGAGGGTAGGAAGCTTTGGATAAAAAATATTGTATGTTTTAACCCCTAAATCTAATGTTCAGAGTTGATGGCTGAGAGGTCATTTAAATGGAAGGGAATGCTTCAAGTACAAATATAGTGAACAAATTACTAGGAAGCCCTCAGTATTCTTAAAAATGTGAGGATTTTACATGACTAATTGGAGCTCTCTTGGACAGTATTGTTTGCACAGAAATGTAGACATACATACAGTACACCGTGAATATTTCTGATATTGAGTGGTGTTATTTACACCAGTATAAGTCTTTAGAAGTAACAGAATCTGCTCTGTTTGAAACTGCATCTCACAAAGTAGCTGTGCAAGTAAAGCTGGTAGTCCAGACGCATCGTGAAGTATGTGTTTGTCGTAAGCGTGTGAGTGACAAATCGATCCTTTCCTGTGGAAGCCAGTGGAGGCAAGAATGTGAATGAAGATCTCTTTGTGTTGCGTAAGGAAACAAATTAGATCCAGACTTCTAGGCAGACACAATTTAACAGTTTGGATTAAAAACAGATGCGACACGAGGGGAGACAGTCATACTGTGCTTCTCGTGTTCTCTCCGACATTACATGTGCAGGATCTGAATGATCTGAATGTTAAACAAGTATATTCATGTTGCTAAAAGACAACTTTAAAACGAGGATATATGATTGGTTGAGTGGAATTGTTCTCCTGAAATTCCTTAATTGATCCGTTTATTTATTGATCCAGTTATTATAAAGCTGTTGCATCTTTTATCACTGCTCTGTATTATGCTGGGGTCTGCCGGGGAGCCATGCTGCTAAATTTAACCGCAGTTGGAAAAACAATCCTTGTTTTGACTTTTTTTTTTTTGTCCCTAAAAACCAAACAATTGATTGAAATATTGTGAATTTTTAATTTCATTAAAACTTTAATTAAAACTGTCTATATTTAACTCTTGGTTTGCCAAATGGAGTAGAGTTGTAGCGACCTGGAGCACTTTGACAATGAAATGGCGCTGAATGTAATGTAGTTGCACACCTCTCTGTCTATGCTGCTGTCTAGTTTTCCCAGCCGAGACCACGAGCTGGCACAAAAACTGCATTACCCAGACTACCTCATGGAGCCCGTGCTCAAAGACCTGCGGCCGCGGCCTGTCCATGAGGATCTCCAATGCCAATGAGCGATGCGAGCTGTTTAAAGAGTCTCGTCTCTGTAACCTGCGGCCGTGCGAGGTCGACATCACCAAACACATCAAGGTAGTAGTCTCACAAACACGCACAATAACTGATCAAACTGAAATGGTTTTTATATTTAAAATCTTCCTGTTTCTTTGCTCCCTCAGCCAGGGAAGAAATGTCTTAATATCTACAGGGAAGATCAGCCAACAAACCTCACCATCTCCGGCTGCACCAGCAAGAAAGCGTACCGGCCCAAATACTGCGGTGTCTGCACCGACGAACGCTGCTGCATCCCCTACAAATCCAAAACCATTGACGTGGAGTTTGAGTGTCCCAACGGGACGGGATTCACCTGGAAGATGTTGTGGGTTCAGGCCTGCTTCTGCAACCTCAGCTGCAGAAGCCCCAATGACATCTTTGCTGACCTGGAGAATTATTACGGTTATCCAGAGGTTATGAACTAAGCAGCGACCTGTCGGTTTGTCCCATCTGTAAAGAGCTTTAGAACTTTTTCCTGACTTTCATTTCCTATGCAGTTTTTTTCCTTTCCTTTTTTAGTCCAATCATGTACAAGGGATTTTGTTCTGTTTTCTTTTTCCTATTGGAAAAATCTGTAAATATCACATATGTGTATTCATAAAGCATGGTGTGCTTTTGAAGACTATTTAAAGAAGTGTTTGCAAATGAAAATATTCAACAAAGCATGTGAAATACTGAAGGTTTAATTTATTTATGAGGCTTTTGGCATATGTACTGGCATGCTATGTTTTTTGGACGACGTCTCACAAGGACATTGCTTGCCTGCCTTTAAACTCTCATATCAACGGAGGTTGTAGGTTTTTCTTCATCTATTTCATTAAATTCTCCCTATAAGTGTTAAGAGATGAACAAAGATCCCCAAGACTACATATTCATATGAAATAAGGATAATCAGGGAAGCTCTGTTACACATTTTTTTGTCATTTTTTAATAAATACAAACGGTTATGTCATTTTAATGCTTTTCTACAGCATTAGAAGGTTGTGTATTTACAAAGCTGTATGTACGTGTTCTACAGAGCCAAATGTTTTTGTAGTGCAAGTAAAATACAGAAGAAAGAGTAGAAAGTATCAGGTAAGTTCTATGGCTATCCTCGTGTTTACATGTGGACCTCTCTTTTATCACTCACTCAAGAATCCACACACAGGAGCAGCACAATCTAACAAAGGTGAACAATTTCATGGCACATTGATTGCATAGAAATCATCATAAAAATCATTAAGCGAGAACCGTTTTTGATCCATTAATAAACCATGTGATCCTGAAGCTTTAGCATTGGTTTTTCAGTGTTTTGATTGACGACAAAGCATACAATTTAGATTAATTTTAAATTCACCTGCAAACTGCTATTTCAACAATCTTTTGGGGGAAAGAAAATTCACAGGGGGGGGAAATAAATGACATTTGCAAGGTCAAACAATTTGCTGTGCATGATATACTTTGAGTCTGCCCTTTCAATTTTCAAAGATATACGTGTAGTGCCTCCCCATTCACTCTCCACATCTACAAGTCTGCTCCTACATACGAACAATAACTCATACATGAAAAATAAACGGATAAATGATCGAACAATTACAGTGAGAACACATTTACAGTCGGGTAAATTTGAGAAAGCTGCGTCAGTAGGGTAAAAATGGACCAAAAAAAATGAGGTTGGAGGGAAAGATGAAGGGGAGGTTATTTTTTTTTTTGTATGCGAGATTATGAGGGATATATTACAAGCTGGTGTACTCTTAGCCACAGCTTTCTCCGACATTCTCTGCTTCGATGTCCCCAAATGCTGCGTTGCCTCCAATTACACTATGGCCCCAAACATTTTCTGCTTGCAATCAATAAACACGACCTCAACCTTCTTACTCAAACATATTTCCAAACTAGGGCAACTCATCTGCACTGAGAAATCTGCAGGTGAGTGTGTATTGTGCGTTTTTTTTATTTCTTTTTTTCCCCTCTCTTTTAAACAATTGCAGGTACATGGGCCAGGTGTGAATTAGAGGTAGCGCAGCAGAGACTGAAGGGGATCCTTGAGAGGTTTGGATGTCTGCTGAGTGGAGGGTTATTTAGCAGGACACTTCGGCGGACTTGCTCACGCCTTGGTCCACGTTGTTGTTGGCCGTGGTGTCCATGGAGCTGTCTGTGTGGGAGCGGCCGTGCGGATTCTCAGTCGTGTGGCTGCGGCTGCGGCTGCCCTCGTTGGTGTGGGAGCGGGAGCGGTTTCCCTCGCTGGTGTGGGAGCGGGAGCGGTTGCCGTCGAACGAGGTGACGCTAGAGCCAGAGGCAGTGCGGGAGCGAACAAGGCGGGTCATGCTGGCAGCAGGCACTGAGGGAAGAGGAAAAGAATTTACTGACGTCCACTTTCCCATTGCTCACTACCTTTCATCACAACCTTCAAGAAGATTTGCAGAATTTTGTAATAAATGTATGGCGAGCATATAAATTGCCACAGGTTGTTACAATGAAAGCAAGCCATCCAAACAGATGCAGACAATTAAAATTGGTTCTACTGTCATCAGCAAATGCAAACGTGTCAGTCAAATGAAAGTTCACACGGACACCATTTAAACTAAACAGCGAATACTTTATGCATGAGAGCAGTAGTGCAAAGTTGTCAAATTCAATTCGACCTTCAGCAGGCTGTCTTGACCATGTCTACATGCCCAAATTAACTGAACTGTTCCTGTGTGATTGGCTGATTAGTTATTAAATCAGCTGAATGGCTGTGTATAATAAAGTTGCCAGTGGGTGCACATATGGTCTGTCCTTTGAGCATTAGTTACATCATAGTGAGTACATGCCCTAATCAATCATAAACACAAGGGGTGCGAAGGCTGTGTTGGGGCATTATTATAATCACCTTATATTTGTGTGTACATTGGTACAGTCAAGCATTCCTGTTCCCAAATTCATTAATCACATTACAGTCAGAAATCAAACAACTGAGTCACCTGCAAGAGTTACACAAGATCCTAAAGTATCTGAATAATCAAACATGCTTTGAACTCACTTTGTGGAGCGCATTTGACCAATTGCAAAAATTCTCAAAGGGGGCATTCTCAGTGCAGTTCATCATAAATAATTAATTTTGGCACGCAAAGAGACAAGAATGTGACACTCGAGTGCTCAGATCTTGTGCATGTCCTTCTTAGGGTAGCTGTTTGTGCTGATGCGTGGGAATATGTAAGGTTTAATGTGCTATTCTAAACTAGAAATTATATTACTGGTCTCAGCAACGTAATGAGGAGCCTAACAAAATTAATTAGTGCATTAATGTTTTCAGAGTGTTTGATTTTCAACACTGGATGAGGTGAACTCGAAGGCTAAGAGATCTTTCTCTCACCACAAGGTGGCAGAATATACATCTTTTACAGAATTAAATCTGTAAGCAAGGGTGATGGCAGGCATTTTTTTCTGTGTCGTTTTTATTTTCATGCACGTTGGAAGAAGAAACTTTAATCTGAACATATCTCAGTAAAACAAAGTGAAAGTATGTGATACTTACTGTATCCCATGCCCTGAATGAAGTACTTGAACGCCTCGGTCAGCTTGCCAGGCTGCAGAGAAGAACATAAAGATAATCAGTCCTCTTGTCAGTAATTATTATATTTGTTTGCATAACATTGACAGGTTAAAGCTCTCAGCCAGCAGCTTACTTCCCAGGGTTTGTGATATGACAGCTGTTATGAACAGGTGCTGTGCAGTTTGGAGGATTACAACCTGACAACTGTGGTTCATGTCTGGTACTTGTTAATGCTCTTAAGTGCCACCCTCCTACACCATCCACCCCTCCACCTGACCCCGTGTGCTGATTATCCAGCCCTGTCCAGCCTGCTCTACAGCATCAATGTCTCTCATGTCATTTCCCCCTCCCTATTTTCTTTCTCACACATACACACCTGGTCAATCTGGGGCATGCCACCGCAGTCGGCCATCTGGGGAGAAGAGTAAAAGAACACAAAATTAGAATTTTGCATGTTGTCACTTGTGTATTCGTGCAGCATCGTGCACACTCCATAACCCCCCACAGCGCTCATTAAGTCCAATTTGAACACGCAGAACCGTTAACCCCAGTAAAAGGCACCACTTTAAGTCAAACAGCCATTTGATTTGAGATGCGGTTCATAAAAAGCTCGCCACAGGCCAGCTGAAGTAGGTCAGTGAGCTCTGGGGAAACGTTCAGCTGTCATACCACTGGTTAATATATCACCAGGTAAATGCTGAGCCAATGGAATCTTATCAGCAGATGAGTTTTCATCAAGGTGGTTATAATCTGGATGAGAATAGGAGACAGGAGGTGTGGGGTAAAGGCCACAACAGAGGGAATGAGTGGGGCCCTCACCTTAAGAAGGGTGGCCTTTGTGGGGTCCAGCTTAGTGTTGCACTCAACCTGCAGGAACAAACGCAAAACATTTATTAGGCAAATGATGTGTGATGACCAACAAGTTTTTAATGTTGTGTGCTTAATCCAGTTATTCCTATGGATAATATATACTAACAAATCCGTTTTGGATTTGGGACCCGTTTGCAGCTGAAAGCAGCAGCAGTCACACAAATCTCTTAACTTTAACAGATTAAAGCTGATCTGCATCACTCCGTTTCTGTTTCCAATTCGGTTCTTGCCTAAGACATGCTAAACTGTTGTCCTTAAGCACTTAGCCTTGCATATCTCTTGGGCTTAAGCAGACGACTGAAGCGAATGGAAAACACGTCCAGCACAAGTTGAACCGTGTTAACGGCAGTGGGAAGTCTAATCATTAGCACTTGAGCCATGTGAACTCACCACGGCCTCCACGGCAGGAGAGCTATCGCCAACCACCAGCAGAGAAGGGCACCTGGATAAAGGACACACAACCACACAGTGAATGTTTCCGTGTTAGAAATAACATTGTTTCATTTAAGCTGATGCCGTTTTTGAGAACAACTTACTTGAGGGTTCTGGCATGGCTTCCAGGGACTGGCCTCTCAATTTCCAGATCCCTTCGACTGTAGACAGACACATCTGTTAGTGCGCAGAACACGCTACTTTCGGCTGTTCCCTAATTTTTGCACCCGATGGCCTCCCTGACTCAACTCCACAGGGATCGGTATCTCAAATGTGTACAGCACTACACTAAGGAGCCACCACACTTTCCATTAGAGTGTATGAACTCAAACACCAAGATTATATCATGAAACATTTACATAAACTAGATGTTGTGCTTACCTTTCATAGGACTTGACAAAGAGATGCAGGTTAAACAGGTTCATGTCATTCATGATGTGGTGGCGGTATGTGGCAATTAGATCATGGTTGTGGTGAATTTCCTCCTGCGGTACCCAAAACAAAAGATGTGTTAAACCCACGACCTACAAATGAATCTAACTAAAATCCTAGTTTCAGTTTACAGAGGTACTTTAAGCGTAATGAAGATATTAATTAATTTAATAATGAGAATTTGAATCTTTACCTTTCCAAACAGGTGGGTGATGATCATGTCGGGCTCTGCGTGAGTCCAGCCACTGATCTAAAAAACAGAAAAAGCTATGTTTAGCTTTAATGGTTCTGCAAATCCAAAAGTCAAAGTTACCACAGTTTTTGGAAATGGTTTGAACAGTTGTAGGTGCTCATATGTGTGTTTATACGCGCATTACCTTGTGTGCAGCCCAGTCCATCCATCCCTCAGCACACGAGTTGATGTTGATGAGAACAAGGCCTTCTACCATATTTGGGTAGTCCAGCTAAAAGATACATAAATGAACTTTAGAAATAAACCACGACACATTTCACTAAATATGTGCCCCACAACCGATTTAAAAAAATATTTTGTATAGCCCATCTATTTATTTATTGTTTCCCAATTTGGTGAGGGTTAGGTTTTAATCTAAAGCTCTTTAATGTTATATCGTGCCCTGTTGAACAATATAGAACTAGTTAAAGTAAAGGCTGCAAAGAGTTAAATGTTGCATCTTTGCCAGCTTTGTGTCAGCGGGGAGGGGGGCTTACTATTGAGCACAGTGTTAGTGGTGAGCTGATCTTGTACATTCCTGAGGCTTTCATGGCTCTGCAGGCTCAAGCAATAAGCGGCAGTGTGTTGCCAAAAATCAGCCAAGAGCAGAAACCCATTAGCCAGCTCTGCTAATCCAAGATTGATTAATACTGAAAATATTAAGTGTGACTGAGAGAGCGTGGGGTAAACTCACAGCAAATCTGGACAGAATGTAGGCCCCGGCTCCCATGCCCATGCCAATCACACTTTTCAGGCTAGAGTGCACAAAAGTAGAGGGGTACTGTTAGAACAACCGGTTAGAAAGTGTCTCAAATATAAAGGGTGAAGTGTCAGGCTGGGAACTGGAGCTCAATTTACCCAAAATGCTTTAAGACCAGTGGGAGAGACTCAGCGAGTTGGTCCATAGAAGGGTACTCATATCTGGGGAAACAAAAAGAGTATTGTTACAGACACTATCTAATCAGCAATGGTCTTATATTACCGTTATCAACTCCTGACAGCAGTTTGTGTTCAGCTAATCTTAACATAAGGCAAAGTCTCACCATTAAAGCAGAGATTAGGCTGAACAAGAGATAATACTTGTCAAATTAGGTCACCTTAAGCACATTCACAGTGATCTACCTGTTGATTCTGAGGTCACAGACTGCTTGACATACATTAAGTGTCTCTCTGTTTGTGACTGTGTGCGCACATGCATGTGTGCATCTGGCTCACCCAGTGGAAAAGGTGTTTGCTCCTTCATGCTGCCCCGGGGCATCGACGTGACACACAGCAAAGTGCTGCATGATTTCCGCCATGTCCTCATGGTCGAAGAGCGTGTTCCAGCAGGTTTTGTCTGGAAAACAGTGAAAAGATGGTGGAGTTGGATGAGTGGTTCTTAATAGAGGGGGAAAGAAGAACTCAAACCGCCTGAATAGATGAGCAAATCTCAGGTTTGGAGGTGCCGTGAGCAATCTTCTTACAAAATCTGACTTCATTACAAAAAAAAGAAAAAAGAAATCATGGAAGACTCCACGAGGAGTCTCCACACCTCCTCCTACAGATACACAAACATGACCGAGCGTAAAATGATAGCATGGATACAAGGGTTATAAGTCCAGCTTAGATACTTAGATAGACTTAATATAAAGGTAGTTCAAAGAAACTAATTTCATTTTAATTGGTATGATCATTCAAAACACACAAGGCCTTCGGTACCACAGCACGTTTCACCAAGATAAAGGAAATAATGAGGTAGGCTTACAGTTCAGGCCGACGTCATGGAAGGTGAGAATGACTGGTCTGTCCCCCTTGGGAACCCCCTTCATTGTACAGTGAATTCTTCCATTAGGAGTCTCCACATCGTGCTCCTATAGATACACAAACATGACCATACTTTTATAGCTCCAGGTTACAAAAGATACATAAATATATTTATATATATTTCTTTAAAGTTACTCCTTGATGCTGGTGCAACAGGGCTGCATAGTCAATATGACAACGTAAAGCTGTTGCAGTAATATTTGAAATACTTTTGTTAAATACAACCTCCAATAATTAGCCTGTTTTTTTGATGGAAAATCTAAATGATAGGCTCTTCACCAGGAATAATTTACCCAACCATGCCGCAGAGGTTTATCATTCCATTAAATATATTAGTTTTCTATCTACTTTACCAACTGAAAAGTAAGCAAAGCCATTTCAAAAGGCTGGCCACTTTAAAACACAACACATTTTTTCCACATGAGCCACAAAAGAAGAATATTTTTTTCCCCGTTTAGCACCTGTGCAACAACTCCAACTTTAGTATCGATTGTCCAGCAGGCAGCATAATCCCACAAATCCGCTGGAAACTACAGCAAACATTTTAATAAAGCTTTTAGTCTACTCACGCTCACTTCAATCTCAGCGACAATCATTTCCACATCAGGATCCTCCAGAACCATGTTTGCAGGAATAGAGTTAAACACTGCTTGCTACTAAAAACTGTAGATACAGTGGCTCTCTGAGCTATAGATCCAAGAGCTGGTAAGCCTCTGAAGTCGTTCAGCCCTTCAGTGAGAACTGCATTTTATACCCCTGCTGCTTACCAGTTGGCCTAAGCTCCTGGCCTCCCATGGTGCCTTGCAGGCTGGTCAAAACAAGCTAATTCTAGATGAAGATATCCTTAAATTGGATCAGCCAATGTCAGAGAGGGGCATCAGCTACTGCGCTGACATGATAAGTATGAGCATGCGATGAGTGGCAAAACATGATGAATAAATGAGGCAGCAGCTATTATTCAGTAATATTTAGGGGAGAAGATTTACAAAAACAAAGACTTAACTTAGTGTTGGTAATTAAATATAGATCCTGCACGATATACGGCAGCAAACAGTCTTTCGAGACTAAACTGAGCCCTTTTGATGAAAATCTTTGATTTGTTTCTAAATTACACATTCAGTACTTGGTTAAAACTCACCCATAATACATTAAAAATTTAGTTAAATAGTGAAACGAAGTTTTAAAAATTTCTCCAAACATAAATACTGCCATAATCCATGAATAAATCAGTTTTAAGAACTAGACTAAAAAAAAACATTTAACTCCTTTAAAAAAAAAGTTTTTTTTCTATAAAATCTAAATATGTAGAGTGATTATTAGCTAAAAATTGCTTTTACATTGTCATTCATTTCTTTATTTCTACTAATTTTAAACTTAAACTGTTTATATGAAGGTTTATTATTAACCAACAGCAGCTCTATGGTGATCCATCAGCAGGTCAAGGGTATGTCACGAGACAACCTATTAGGTAGTTTGTTTTTTACCCCCAAACCAGTTCTAACTGCATGGGATCTACTTGTCAGGAACATCCAGCAAGGAGGTAAAACCTATTTACGAAATGTAATGTACAGGATTCACCACAGCTCGCTCCACCCACGCTTTGCAGGGCACACTCAAACGTGGAGACTACGCAGTGGAGATAATCCTGCAAGGCAGCGAGCATGTGTCTGTGTGTACAGAGTGTTCATAAGCACACACGCACATCTGTGAAACTTACAGTGGAATTTCTTTTTTGTGTATGTGTGTGTGTCCAGGTGTCATGAATGCATTCGCTAATAAAAATCAGGGAATATCATCAGAGCCAACTAATCCTGCGCGACTGACTGTTGGAAGCTTAGTCCCCACAGAGACATCAAACACTTGCCCTGGATACTTTAGGTCAACCAATCTGTCAGTGTCACAGCAAAGAAAGTCAGAAGGACTCTGATGGAGCTCAGACTCTCAGTAAAAGAACCCCATCCACACACTGCCTGAGCACAAAACCCTTAAATTCACATGAAGTTTGAAGAAAAGATTTTTTTAAGTTGAAACCAATGCACTTCTCACACCTACTGTTATTTAAAAACAACACAGATTCAAGAGGCAGCAAATGTTTTCTGACTATAAGGAGCTCTGTACAGGGTGTTAGGATCGCCCCCAGACTCAGCAGCACCAAAACACATGTGGTTTCTCCCGATAGGCTGCATCATCAAATCCAGTTCAACATGCGTTTCATCACTTCCTGTAGCTGACTCAGTTAGTGGAACCCTAATTAGGTTTCTGTCCTAATAAAATCACAGCAGATAAAAGGTCACTGAGGTAGTGCCACAGCTATGTTAATAATTATCAAAGTATTTCATTTTATCAGCCACTAGATGGTACTATTCAAGGTAAAGTTATGAGATACCAAGCAGTGGATTTAACTGCTAAAACAAAATGTTGCAACTTGTCAGAATGATAAAGTGTTTAATGTGTGTTTATGCAAACATACCTTGGTTACAAGCTGCTGCACAGCCTCTCTCAAGCCCTGGAAAGAGAGAAAAGAGGAATGAAAACATAAAAGATAACATGATTACGGTGCAACAAGCTATAATCTAATATCCTGAAGTCGGTTCCCATCACTGAACCCAACCCGAATCAAGTATAATTTTGACTGCACAGTCAACATAATGCATCAAACATGAAGAACATTCTGTGAAATTATGTGAAAGCGAATCATACTGTGGTATTCTGGTGCATATGCATGATTTTCTTATTGCACTAGTTCCATTTTTCTAACACACAGCCGACCACAGACAGCTTAATTGTCTTTTAGTGTGCATATTTTGGAAATCTGTGTATAGAAATTTATGAAGTGTTCAGTGATTACGTTCTCATATAAAAGCACCAATATCCCAAAAGTTATATCTAAAGAAAAGTCAAGCTAAGAGGCACAAATAAATCAGCAAAAAGCATACAAAGCTTGACAGCATAGAACTCCAACAGCTTAAGATTTATCTGAGAGTCACCGTTAAACAAAACTTTGCACAAAACATACCGGCAGCTCCCTGTCAACCAGCAGGGGTTTGGACTCAACAACCTGGATATCATCCATTTCAAAGAGCTGCAGAGCCTGGGAGAGATCGGAGCAATTAGTTAATGACTGGTTCAGCATATTTCTGTGTACGAGGATCAAGGTTTTTATATGCATTACTGTATTTTAAAATGAAAGAGTGATTAAAGGCCTGTTAAAGTACAGTTTTGTCCCTTTCTTTTGCTCCTAAGCGTCTTTAAGGGGACTGCTGGGAGACTTTTGTCAGAATTGAGGAGTTGCAGACAATAGAATGAGGCCTGCTTGAACTTTGGCTGGGTGTGTTTCTCCACACGAAAGTAAAGAGGGCTTAAGTTTAATATAGTCCAAGACACACTCGCAACATGCAGAGGCTTGCAGCAGTTATCTGCAGTAACATGCGGCTCACTTAACGGACCACACCTGCGAACCGCCTACATGAGAAACACGTGGATAACCTGAAAGACAGGGCGCAAGGTGGCTGACAGGCACAAAGCAAGGTTTGGCTGTGAGGGGAAGAGGAAGTGTGATTTTTGGGTAATTCTCACCCTGCTGAAAGATTTAAAAGAAAAAAAAGATCTACTACACATGCACTTTGAAGATTGGACTCAAGTTAATTATCCACTGAACTTAGAGCTGAAAAAGACCCTCCCTAAATCCAGGTTTCGGGATTGGGAAGACATTTCATAAAAGGACATCAAAGTGGGGCTTAATGACAACATTAAAAGGAAAAGAAAGATGAAGAGTTGTACAGAAGGGCAGAAAACTGGAAGAGAAGCCAGGCTGTGCAGATCATGATGCTGTGTTGGAATAGAGCATGTAGGCTGTGACTCTGCATGCAAATCAAATTAGCCAGTTAAGAGAGCCCTTTGTCCACTGGCCGCAGCAGGCCAGGGGCTTGCCCACTTCTCTCCCACAGCTGAAGCGGGGGGGCCATGATGACCAAGACACACATCCATATACAGGAAGCAACTGACACCCTGGTTCCCATCTAAACTTCCCAGCTTCTTTTCAGCGCCCTGCTTGCGCTTCCTGTCACTTTCTGTGTTTATCTTGGTTTCTGTTTGGGTGAAGTCTCTCCGTTTGCCATTTCCAGGCTTTGACAATGTCTTTTGTGCTCTCGTGCCTCTCTTTGTCTTAACCAACATCCCCAGCAAAAATAGAAAATAGAAGAAAAAAAACGTAATCAACCTTCAGAATTGCAGAGTGCTCATCAGAGCAAGTTTGCCATTTAGAGGAAGCAACTCATGTTTCAGATATGGGTGTCTGGCAGAATACGCCCTGGGTACACACAAACACCTGTATGCCTGTGTTTCTCTGATGGGGAGAACACACACCAGCGCCAGGCAGCTCTCACAGCGCCGCAGAGGAAGAGGAGTATCAAACAACAGGTTCGTTTGTTCACTGCGGCCCTTCCAAAAACATGGCTGCGGTTACACTGCAGGAGCTTTGTTGAAGAGGACAAGAGAGCAGCCCCCGCTGAGATTCCACAGCCATGTAACAGAAACCATGTTTATGATTTTCATAATATCGAAAGAAAAAGAAAATGCTCAGGCCATTTTTGATTATATAATTTGAAAAAAATGGAGGGGGGGGGGGGGGGTTTTATTTCCCATGTCAACATGAGCAAACCTCTCGGCCTGTTTTCTGTTTTTAAGCCTTTTTTTGCAAACAGCAAAAATAAAACCAGACAAGTTCACCCATATGGAAAAGTAACATTTATCATATCTGGTGTCTCTTTTTCTTTTTGTAAATCTTATGGGACTTACAGGTGTGCTGTACTTTGATTTACTCACTTTGGTGAGTAAATGACAACGTGGGACCAAATGGAAAACAACAGAAACTAAATTAATGAAATAAAAGCGCGCATCTCTTTTCAAGCTTGGCTACCAGTCACTACCTGCCAGCATGTCGACATCAGAGAGAAGCTCTGACAGAGCAGCAGGCTAAGACAACTAGGTCACCTGCTGTTTACACCTGTGGTGTTAGCCAAGCTGAGCTAATGTTTCACCTCTTTGAGAGGAGTGCAGAAAGGGGAAGTGTTAGTTTACCCACGCCAGATTCTGAGCCTAAGCAACACGATAGGAGTGCTGCAGCTGTGACATGTTTTATGAAATGATTTCAAACGACTGTCATGGAAAGAGATAAATATTCAACAGTGGCCCATTACACTTAAAATGTATTTATAATGTCGATGAATAACATGAGATGGAGTGAATAACACTGAACGCAAGGCTGCTCTGCTGCTCTTAATATTGTGGCACACCGAGCACAATCGCTTCCTCAAATTTGGCCACATTGGGTAAAAGACTATTCTCAGATTTTAAGATGAGCGTGTTCCCTCACAGGAATTTTGCTGCAGCACGGTGCCTTCTTTAAAACCGGCCTCAGCACAAAGAGGTGCCAGTGGCAGCAGTTGTCCCTGCATGCAAAGGCTCCTGTTAGAAAGATGTCATTGCAGAAGGAAAGAAACGAAACAAAAGCGGTAACTGAAACGGCTTCGGCTTGGCAGAAGTGAGACTGTTATGCAATCTTAAACAGGAAACAGTGGGAGGATATACGTTTCTAAGAGATGATCCTAAAAGTGTAGCTCAGAAAAAAAAACAAAAAAAAAAAAACACAAACTCGAAATTATTTGAAGCATTTTTATTTGTTGACAGTTTGACTTCATGTCAAGGTTTTAGTTTTTCAAGCTTCGACACCGACTGGTTTCGATGACTGATTAGGGCAGTTGTTGGCTTTCTGAATATTAAAAAATATCACCTGACAATGAGATGCTGCGGTTTGAGCTTTAGAGGAAAACAACAACTCTGGCTCAGGTCTACGTAAAACATCAGCGCTTGTTTTCCACAGTAAATCCAGGAGATGGGGTGCGCTGCTTTAAGCCACAACATCCAAGTTACAAAACAAGCATGGGCTCAAACTCTCTTTGTTCACTGACAGAAAGAAGCATATGTAGTGATTAGATTTGGATAGAGTCTCAATTTCAGAGAGCCAGAATCAAGGGCAGGTCATCCCTTCACTCCTCTGCCTCCATATACTTTTAAATCCACGAGCCTGCTGCATCCATCTGCAGAAACAATGATTGCTTCCCTAATCTTTGGGAACTCGCTTAATCTGTCAAATCCCTGGTTCTGAAAT